AAATTCGCGGCACATTTTGAATTTATCATAATAATAAATTCGCGGCACCTAACACTAACCCCAACCCTAACCCTAACCACTAACCCCTACCCTAACTTTTTTAAACTTTTTACATTTTTTTTTACTTTTTTACTTTTTTAAAAGTCTAACTTTTTAAACTTTTTTTGCTTTTTAAAACTCTTTTAAAACTTTTTTAAAACTTTTTTAAAAACTACTTTTTTGAAAATCTTGAAGATCTCCCCACCCCCGTGCGACCAGCCTCCCTTTTAGTTACTCATACAAGGGGTCCCCCAAAAATGTACCCTCCTATTGTTATAATTTGAATGCCTGATCACTATGCTGAACACAGTGCGTAAACACAATTGAATTGAATTTTTAATCACAAGTCGCATAAAATCCTGTGCTTAACAACAATAGGATAAATTTCTATAGAGGGTACTTTTTTGGGGGACACACTGTATAGTAAATTCAAAGGTGGAGCTCATGCTGACATGTGTATAGTAAACCAAAGCTCAAATGCAATTAAATGTATGCATGCATGCGAATTCTGTGGTTGATTTTTAATTAGAATAAAGATTTTTCGCATGCTTCTCTCCATATCATGTAAGCATATTTTCGTTGCAAATTATTTCCTTTGAATGCATTCACGAGAGTAAATCCCGGTGAAGCGAAGATGGAGTTGATAATGTATTGTCAGTGGTTTAATAACGGACGCGCGTACATGCAGTGACTGGCATGCACCTCTTGTCCACTCTGATATACTCGCGAGAGTATATATACTAGTTGAGACAGCTATATAACTCGCTAACTCTCATTCTCGTCGTTATAGGACAGGACCGCTTTATTTACTAATGCAATGTGACTGTTTGTACGACATATGCACTTCATCAGCTTGCTCAACATACTAGAAATTGTGCAGGGTGTCTACAATGTGTATAAAAAAATTATAGCCTTTGAAATTCAAGTTAACAATAATTATAAGTGATTCGATTGTTCTCAACTGCTTTGAGTTAATTAATGATACGCGACGAAAACATGTCTTATTTACAAAAGAGATAAATTATCACTTCATTTTAATGCTGCTTGTACTGCACAGGGTATTTCATTGAGTTGTCCGTACATGTCCCATAAGTATAAAGTCTTTTGTTTTACGCCGCTCGTTAACTTGTTCGAAACAATTATACAGGGGGTATCAAAAACCCTGCAAACACTATATAATTTGCATAATTCTGCTGCTTACTAGCATTTCAAGGTCTGTGCTATAGCTACTAATTTTGCTTCTGGGATTTGAAAATACATTCTAATTATCCGCGTTGATAGAAATTAGAATGACACAAAGTTATTTGTAATGCAGAAAACTAATTATCAGTTCGACTGCAAATGTAACTATTCTGTTTACGCATGCACACTTAATTGGGATCAATTAGTTCTGAGTGCAAATTGTACAAACATTGTATTTCAATCCTTTGCAGGTTTTTTTTATACACCCTATAGTATGCTGAGAAAGCTGAATGATATAGTGCATGAACGACCCAAAATTCTGTTCTGACTTCATGGTGTGGTACAAACAGTCGAATTGACTAGCATTAGTAAATAAAGCTGCCCTGTTCTAACGACGAGAATGAGAGTTAGCGAGTTATATAGCTTGTAAACAAATTTTCGCAACTAGTATACTCTTGCGAGTATGAGAGTCGATAAGAGTTGCCGGTCATATACGCGCATACGTTAAACCACAATACATTATGAACTCCAACTTGCTTCACCAGGATTTACTCTCGTGAATGCATTCAGAGGAATATAATATAATATAATATAATTAAATATAATCAAAATGTCAATCATCATTAAAAATGTCATAGTCAGGGTTGATGGCACACAAATCAACTGTTTATGCCTAGTAAATATATCAAATAGGTCATATATTGAAAGTCATTCATCAGCAACAAATGATGACAAGTATGGAAATAATGGAAATTAGAAGTATAATTGATGCATATAGTTCTTGAATAGAATGATATAATTCAGCATAACAGATCCATGCAATAATATTTTGTCGTGGAAGAAAATCCACTAAACAGAATATTATGTTAGTTTTGTACATTGTGTGCTATATTAAATAAGATCCCATTATGACATATGGTTGTTGTTGATTATAAGACAACATAGTATGGGATAGGTGAAGGGGGATATAAATTGCTTAACTGGTGTTCTTGGCAATGACATTCAGTTGCAGAAATCAGGGTCGATGAAGAAGGGAGCACCCCGTCCAGGATATATAGTTAATAATTATGACTGGTTGCAACTGTTACTATAAGTATTGATATTCCAATCTAAAACTGAATCTCTGCTCTTTATGCAGCCACTATTACTTTGCCTCGCTTTAATGAAAGCAATTATTCAATGCACATACTGCTATAAAGTGCTTTAAGAGAAATGTTTCCAATATGTGTCACTTAGCTTCTGACCCTGCTAAATTTGTATAAAAATGATCTATCAAAGTCTGTAATGAAAGCAGACACCAATTGTCTATAGTTATAATCATTGATAAAGAAATTATGTAAATTATATAGCTTCTATTGGTTTCATTCAACTAATTTATATTAACTAAGGGACCGCTCATTATTTATTGTACAGGGGGGGACTGAGGAGAAACTCTACAGTTATAATATTTTTTCGTTACCCCCCTCTTAAGACAAGTAAAATTTTCAATGCCCCCCCCCCCGAACAGGCAAAACAAGAACATAAATTTGCCCCCTCCCCCTCTAGCTCTTTATCTTTATTTAGAGAAACAAAAACTCTAGCTGTTTATTTTAGAGAAAGAAAAATAGGTAATGGGGACCAATAGACATTCCCATTATAGACTAATTTTTATCTTAGCAAAAAAAGTATATTCCCGGGAAGGGCATACTAAAATTACTAAAATTCCAAAGTTTGGTTGCAAAATGTTGTCAAATATGTAGAAAATATAGCCTTCCAAAGTTTGCAAATTTTGTATTCTTTTGTATAATTGCAATTTTCGCATGCAATACAAAAGTGTACAAAATTTGCAAACTTTGCAAGGCTATATTTTCCGTATTTTGCAACAATTCGCAACCAAACTTTGCAATAATTTACTTATTTTAGTATACTCTTTCTAGCTGTGGTGATTTATTTGCATCAAGGCCGGATTTTGAGGGAAGTGTGGAGAGGTGCGCACCTCCCCAGAGATCGTTTTGCACCTCCCCTGAGAATTTTTCCACCTCTCTTGAAAGGTCATGCACTTCCCCTTGGGAAAGTTTCAAAGATGGAACAAAGTGAAAATGTGATGGTTGCTTAGGATCTACATTTTGTGACGTAAGAAAGTTTTCTCTGTAAAATTGAAACAGTGATAGCCATGTCAAGCACCCTTTTAATGCAATGTTTTGAAAGAAACAGTGTAGCAATTGTAATGAAGGGCAAGATTGGAGTCATACATTCATAATTCATTAATACACTGGTACATATTATGTACCCTACATGTATACCTCACCTCGTTGATATTGGCCTGTTCTACAATAAGCCCTAACTTTCCATGGGAGTTGTGAGCTAGACCGCTGCACCTCTCCTAAAATTTTTGTCCACCTCCCCCACTATTTTCATCAAAATCCGGCCTTGATTTGCATCTCTTTGCCTAGTTCTAAAATTAGTCTATAATGCGAATTGTCTATTTACATGAACATGAGAGACTTTTTATTTGACTTCCATTTATGAATATTAAAGTCTATGAATATTGTTATTTGTTGTTAAGTTGTTTTGTGACACATTTTTAAAACTACTGTTTTTTCAAACTGGTAAATATTTTCAAAGCCCCCCTTCTTTCGTCTCTCTGTATTTTTTCAAAGCCCCCCCTTTCAGGTTTTGATAAATTTGAAGGCCCCCCAGTTTCTCCTCAATCCCCCCCTGTACAATAAATAATGAGTGGTCCCTTAACGTTTTACTCAAGAAATACGGCGATAAAAGTTAAAATATCGCCTATATCAGAACCTTTATGTGTTAACATGCAGTGAATCTAACGAAAAAAACATAGAAAACTTAATTTTACCGCCGCGGTTTTACATATCCTCATAACTTTGTAACCGCTAGAGTAATGTTTAAATACACGGAACAATTTACATCAACAGACTACGTCTATACGGTATAGTTATAGTATAGCTAGAAAGGTTCTTATTGTATTCTGACTGTATCACGACGACAAAATCAGTGAATCTCAACAAACACAATTAAATCGTGAAAGAGTGTTTGTTTTCCGTTGCCATAAGTTTGTCTACTTGTCAAGTGCATTAATATCGGTCGTTCCCTATCCAAAATATCATAAACTTACTACAATACAAGCCTAATTAATATCTTGTAATTGTTACAATAATGATATGCTATACGGTTTAAAGTGAGAACTTAGTACCCTATGATACTCATACAAAACAGCTGTTACAGATTGCAATGTTGCAACAATGTCAATGCTACAAAACGTCTCGTACCTGCTGGCCTAGACGCTGTCAGCTGCCGTAACTTATCTCCGGTTCCTCATGTAATACCTACATGTAAAATCACGTTTTCCACTTCAAGCGTATCGTACCGTAACGTAGCGAAAACGTTTTTAAATTTCAAAATTTCGTGAATGTTGACTGGTTAGTACTTCCGTAGTACGCCAAAAAGTTGACTTGCGACGAACTTTTTATTTTGAAACGCGAATACACCCGGAAGTACGTGGATTTATAAACCTCTTTTCAATCTGCCCATGCTCACCGACAACCTCGTCCCCAGGGTCTTCCTCGTGGTGGCGCGTGAGCTGAGGAAGACCCTGGTAAAATACGATGAAATCTCCAAGATTCTTGGAGATTTATCGCATGCGCAGTAACGACAACGTTATGTTGCTGACTACAATTAGCGCTGGCGCTTACGATTTTCTTGCTTTAAAAATACACATGTTTTGTTGATTCTTTATGTATTTATTCTCAAAGTTTTAACAAATTTTAAGAAAAATACTTCAGATGTAAGCTGTGAACACACATGTACACAAAACTGTGCAACATTCGTCATCATATTGTATCAATTTGTCGGAGTATGGCGCTCATATTTGTGACATTGTTTTGTTCGCTTTGGCAACCCTGCCAACCCTCGTATATATATCAGATGCTGTTCGGCCTCAAATGCGACTGAATGAACACTGATGGTGTTGCCTGGAATATGAAATGATATTGACTGATTGTTCTGTATATCAAGGTAGGTACTGTACATTTATACTGAATTTATTTTCACACGAGTTTCAAACTATTTCAGCCTTTAATATAATGAACAGTGCGATCACATCACTAACATACAGCCATACAGAAAGCAGAAAGAATTTTCTCATCAATTCTGATTATCGTTTACAAGTAACAGTATAAATGCTTCAAAATTTATTTGTTTTCTACAGTATGTAATGCAGGGCAGCATGCTTTCATTTTGCTTTGGTGGTAGTCACCACTCACCAAGTCAAATGGGCCATTCCATCTATAAATAGCCCCACTATTCAGGTCTGGATATCCTATATGGGGATTTTAGAGAGGGGGATTTTACCTTAAATTTTTCTGGAGGGTAGCTTAAGAGATTTCCAAAAAATTAGGTGTTTTAGTGATACCCAAAGGGGCAGGAACAATATCCTAAAGGGGTAGAAAGATATCCATGGGGGTTCCAAAATTGCATCCAATGGGGTTCCAAAATGTTTAAGTATAATAGTATTATGAAGAGACCCCTCAATAGGGTGTGGGGGGCTATATTAAATGGAATTGCCCAGTGTGCTGCAACAACTTTTAAAATTTGTATATATGTTTTTAAGGCACAATATGTGATGGAGTTTGATATAATGATCAGCACAACCTGGATGTCTTGACTGAATGAACAACTTATGTGATATACTCCTAGTTCCAATACTTTGCTGTATATTATCACCAGCTCAGATGTCAGTTGGATCACTTTGAATGAACATTGGAGTGGCACAATAAAGTGTGTGTATTAGGGCGGAGTCTATAATTAAGGACTGAAGTAAAAGGCACACTTTTGGATATTAATTTGAATCATAGCAACTACATATACTGTAGGTTTCAAATAAGTTTGAACAATGAACAACTGAAAATAAAAATTTATTTGATTTGAAACACTCAAAAGAATTACAACATATTATATGATAGTCATATGTACATGATTATGGGTATATTCATTAGGTTTATTAGCTGATATTTATGACCATCCTGGGACAACATTTTATTTTTCCCAAGAGATTTTACTTGCATGGTAGTAATATAGTAACAGAGAAGTGTGATGGATATGTGCAAGTAATTATCATTAGAAATACAAATATTAAACTGTAATTTTCACCATTGTAAATGATTGTATTATTAAAGAAACAAAATACAAAAGTCAAATAAGGCTATTTAAAATAATACAGTCATAATACTAGACTGGTTAAAGAACTACTGAACAGAGGCATCATGAAAATATTCTAAGATTACTACCATGGCTCTGTACCAGGGAAAGGTATAGTGAGTTTCTTCACCTTGATGAACATTAGAAAACTATAATGCCATCAACTCATTCCCATTTAAAAATTTTCATGTTGGTCAATGTGAAATATAATCTTGAGGCCATCTAATTCTTAATGATTGTTTACTATCTAATTGATGACATGATTATATATTTCCATGGAATTCAAGTTGGCTTTTCCCAAGTTGATGTAAAATACGGTTCACCTGTTAAAATAATAAAATGTTTATTAGTTGTTTTGTAACAGAACAGTACTTGCTTTAATTAATTAAAGAAAATATAGGAAAGAGAAAATCAAAATAACAGTTGTACTGTATATGGAAAAAAGAATAAAATCTTTCTAAGCAATTTCTACTGTTACCATATATTATCATACTGTTATCATAATTTGATTAAAAGTCTTTCTGTATGTGTGAAATGAAGTCTTTCTGTATGTGTGAAATGAAGTCTTGTATAATACATGTGTGAAACTGTGTTTAATTGAAAATGTGATTTCCGAGACTCTGGGAAAATGTGAAAGCAACGTGTGAAAATAAATCGAATAAATTCAGTATAAATGTATACTACAGTACCTACCTTGATATACTGAACAATCAGTCAATATCATTTCATATTCCAGGCAACACTATCAGTGTTCATTCAGTCGCATTTGAGGCCGAACAGCATCTGATATATACGAGGGTTGCCAAAGCGAACAAAACAATGTCACAAATATGAGCGCCATACTCCGACAAATTGATACAATATGATGACGAATGTTGCACAGTTTTGTGTACATGTGTGTTCACAGCTTATATCTGAAGTATTTCTCTTAAAATTTGTTAAAACTTTGAGAATAAATACATAAAGAATCAACAAAACATGTGTATTTTTAAAGCAAGAAAATCGTAAGCGCCAGCGCTAATTGTAGTCAGCAACATAACGTTGTCGTTACTGCGCATGCGATAAATCTCCAAGAATCTTGGAGATTTCATCGTATTTTACCAGGGTCTTCCTCAGCTCACGCGCCACCACGAGGAAGACCCTGGGGACGAGGTTGGGAACACGAGCGTAGCCGCTGGGGGAAGGAGCGCAGGCGGCAAAGGGAAAGGCGAAGGGAAAGGCGAAGGAAGGCGCGAAGCCTCTGCACGATTTGCATCGCAAAGTGGGACAAAGTGTAAACATCGAAACAAAAGGTGATTTTTAAGCTAAACAAGAAACGTCTTTTTGAAAATTAAATCATTATTTAATGCATGATTGATTGACCTCATTGACTAGTGCTTGCATGTTTGTGGATGGTCAAAAGTAATATTTTTTAACATTTAATACACAAAGCAAACAATCGTATATTTTAATACTCACCGCTTGGCCAAACATTCTGTATTTCGTATCGAGAAAAAACTTGAATATTTCTTGAACTCTTCGGAATTCGCCACCAGTCAAAGAAGTAAAATACTCCTTGTATTCAAGCGCTTTCGTGTAGAAAATGTCTTTTGAATACGGCCAGTAGAAATATTTATTTTTAATTTTTCAAAATATCGGGTTTTTACCAGTAAATACCTAGCTATATGATCGAGTCTTCTGATTGGCCAGTAGATTAAATAGGGTAGTCCGAGGTAGTCACCAATCACAATCAAGCCTTGCCCGTTTTGGGGGCGTTTCGCCGCAGGACCGTGTTGCCATGCAGGTTCGCCGCGTGCATTATAGGATTTTATAGCCAACGCTTTTTGACTGCTGAATTTATACAGTTTTGGACAGCTTTTGGTGGCTAAGAATAAGGAGATATGTGAGTTTTGCTTTTTGGAAACATGGACGGAGAAGAGGTAAATAATCAGTTATAATTGTATTGCTTATATGACAAATTGGATCGTTAGATTCGGCCCATGTATATTCGGCCATATTTACAATTTCCAATCTATAAATCACATCTGTATTACTCATTTTTGGTTTCATATGGTGTAATGGATGCTAATAGTAAAATATATGGCGTCAGACCTCAGTATTATTTCGGCCATATTTGCAATTTCCAGTGTATACAGTATAGGATTGTTTCAACATATTGAATCACATCTGTATTAAGCCTGTTTTCATACGTCGAATTTTGGTCATTCGACACGACCAAAATTCGACGTATAAAACAGGCCTTACTCATTTTTTGTTTCATATGATGTAATGGAGGCTCAGATTCATTAATATGTAAAATACCTAATCACACACTATCATGCTTATTGGCCATTTAACCATATGTTTATGTAAATAGTGTGTATAATATATGGCATCAGACCTCAGTATTATTTCGGCCATATTTGCAATTTCCAGTGTATACAGTATAGGATTGTTTCAACATATTGAATCACATCTGTATTAAGCCTGTTTTCATACGTCGAATTTTGGTCATTCGACACGACCAAAATTCGACGTATAAAACAGGCCTTACTCATTTTTTGTTTCATATGATGTAATGGAGGCTCAGATTCATTAATATGTAAAATACCTAATCACACACTACCATGCCTATTGGCTATTTAACCATATGTTTATGTAAATAGTGTGTATTATGCACGACCTTTGAAAAACAGACACCTGAAAGGCTACCACCAATTGCCACCGGCGTTGTAAAGAGATATAAATTCATCAACATTAAAGGTGATATAAAGTCTGTTCTCACATACGTTTTGTGCAGGCCTACATTGCAATGGTCAGCCGATCTATCTAATCATATTTTACAACTGTAGCACTGAGTTCAAAATGTAAACAAAGCGTTTGTTTACATTTCAAGTGACTGTACACCATAACCTGCATCACCCGCATACACATATATACATGAATAAAAAATTTGTGGTTATAAATGCTTGGCAACTGGACCTCTGTAGCTAAGCGGTCAGCCGCAGGTTCGATAAGTTCCTGCCGGTGTTGCATTTTTTGCAGCTCCGTCGTCCCCGGTTAGGTAAAAAATTCTATATATAATAATCTATATAAAAACCATCAACATTAATTTCTATTGAGTGAGGTGCACAAAACATGTAATGTTTTATTTCACATGTTTAAATAAGGCGAAATAAATTGTATTTATCACAACCTAACCATTGCTCCTTTTGTACTTAATCATAATGCTATTATCTCTCTTAGATTATCCTGGGCAATGCAACAAAAAGGTGCAAAAGCAAGTGTCCTGCATGTCCATTTGTATATGCAAACTTCTGGAAGCCAAAAAGCTACCCAGAGTGCAAATATGAAATTGGTGCAAGTTTCATTCCCAAGGAGAAAAAAGCGAAAGAAACTCCACCCTGACTGTGCTCATGTTGGTAGAAATGTGTACTCTGTGAAAACAAGCACAAGAAGTGGCAGTTGAAGTATTCGGTGACAAAGTGGTTGCCGGTAGCGCACTTGCCTTTCACCTCTGAGACTGCAGGTTCAAGCCTCAGTGAGAACTTCTCAATGTGTTTTCTCTGGGTACTCCGGTTTCCTCCCACAGGGAAAGTTGACAGGGTGGGTTAGGCACATACAGTAGGTCAGGAGGCAGATCATTAATGAGGTATGGACTAATAGCAGCTGCTCAAGGAGCCATTTGTAAGCTCAAAGTCTACCTCGGTCTGCTTCATGTCAGTCCGGTTCTATCTATCCATTCACAATGTAACCAGTCACTGAAAAGCCCTGATATGGAGTGTGCTGTGAAATATCTGTATCTGTAAGTATGTAAATAATTAAAGCACTTCTGTAACAATAGTTTATATAAAGTGAAATTTATTGTTTGGCTGATGTTTTAGATTTGCCATTTGGGATTTTGTCTGGATTCTATTTTTGTCAATGATTTTGTCTGTAAGAATTAAGCATCATCATTAAATTTGGAGGTAATATCGGTCCTTTCAATCTGTACAGACCTTCTACATCTGCAAGATCTCCGATGCTAAGATTGTTTCCATCAAGTGACCAAAACCTTGTTCACCTCCCTGTAATAGAGAGTTTAAGTTCGACTTCCGATACCGATACTAACATGTCAGGCACATGCTCTCTGCTCGCAAGAAGCATGAGGACAAGTGTATTGGAGGTCACCACTACCGAAGTCGGCCTTGTATTGGAAGTCGGGGGAATTGTAAGATAAACTCATATAAATCGGATATTTCATAATTTTTACGATAAACATGTAAACTATTTGTTTATTAGCATCGCCAGAATCATGTTTTAGTCGGAATTTTAGCTCAGCTGCCGTTTAGTATACTGCACATTTTCGGTGACGATTAATGTGTTCTATACTTTATCTGTCATATCAAACTTTCGCCCTATATGAATGAACATTTGCTCAAACTAGTGTCCAGTCGCTTAATGTGAAGTTACAGACGCTCCATTTTAGGCTCAGTGTAAGATTAGCTATGCTGAACTGGTTCTGTAATACCTTCTTTAAATAAAGTTCATTATTTAATATTATTATTATTATATGGCGGAGGGACCAAAGCCCACGCTTCGAGATTTCCCAAGCCTAAACTTCAATTATAATGAGGCAGAATAACTAAAAAGTACATTTTACTAAACGCAAAATCATTACAATTGTTCAACACTTATCTGGATTCTGGTATACAAATATATATAAAGACATATAAGGGAGATATTGAGTCTAAGACGTCCCTTCGCCATCTTCTACAGCCGAGATCAATTGAATTATTAATGAGCTTGTAAACACAAGCAAAACCCACATCTTTGCGCACATTTTGCCCTTCCTAAATCGCCATAAATAAACACGAATTTGCTATCAAAATGCGCCAAATTTCACGAAGACTTCAAATCTGGAGGTAACTGGAGTCAAAGACCTGCGCATAAGATCCTAGTGCCAGTTTTCTTCAACAGACACTGCGCGCGAGGCGAATTTCCTATATAAATCATAACAAATAGCGCATAATCAAACGAAAAGTGCCCTTCGAATTAAGTATTATTTCCCCATAAAAGTACATTCAAAAGACGTCTAAAGGCTTACTCTTTCCTATACCGTAGGTAACTGAACACAGATATAATCGTAGAGCAAACGTAAGCGAAAAAACATCAAATTATGGGGTGATTTGTATAGGCAAAAGTTGGAAATATGATACGCGCAATACGACACGACTTTTTGTTAACGCAAAGTTTGATATGCGTGATAACTTAACGCTTTAAAATTCCCGGTACCAAAATGAGAACGGAAGTGAAAAAACATCGGTATTGGTATTGGAAGTCGAACTTAAACTCGGCTCTAATAATTGATATGATGACTTCTGAATTTTCAAAACTAACCCAGCGACAACGAGAACAACTACTTACACTAGGTGTATGTACCACAGAATACCGCAAAAATTTACATGTTCCATATCTTTTGTCTAATGCATATAATATGGTTCCTTGACATTTTTTAGTATATAGTCTATCGATATATTTTTTCTTTCTGGGGGTTTTGGGGCAAGATTTCATAGACTTAATTTTTTTTTTAATGAATATTCTGTGGAAAAAAACCCATTGTACCACAGAATACCAGTGCAGAGGTAAGTAAGCAATGGTTTATCAAATTGTACCAGGATTTGGTGTGTCCTGTTGTATGATAATACTGTGGGATATTGCTAACTTAATTTAGTAAAGTTAAACACTAAAATCAGTACAGAATACCAGTGGCATATAATCAAAGAATACCAGGTTTATCAATAATTTTGAAAAATTCGGTTTTTCAATGGTAAAATTGATTACACTGTGATTCCAGTGTATAGTAATAATGTTGTGTTGCATAGAAAAAGTATTGATCAACATCAGTTATGCTGGTTGGCGAACTTATTTTTAAACATTCGGATTTTACAGGCATTATGCGGAAAAAAAGTACCAAAAAATATAGCATTCTTGTTAATCCTGATTATTTTTAAGAAAATATACATTTTTTGTTTTTATATGTCATTTAAGACTAAAACTAATATATAATCACCAAATAAAGTTTATAGCATATTTCCTTCAAATTTTATGTAAGAAATAAAACTGGTATTCTGTGGTACCGTTGTATTCTGTGATACATACACCTGTACTACTCGTCCACCTGTTTCAAAAATGACTGGTAAAAGTTAACCCTGGTTTAGATGCTAAATTTGTCCCTCAAAAATGTTTGTACTTAATGCTGGTCAAAAAGACAATCTGATTTATCACGCTGCTCCGATGCTTTGGAGAACAACGCCATGATGATGTTGGTCCTAGAATTCCATTGGATAGAATGCCTTTAAAAGCAGTGAAGGCCCACTTGGCCTTTTTTTAACAGTGTTTTGTTATTTTTGTAATGCTGTTAGACATCATGGTGGTTCTTATGCACCTATTAATGTTGGGGCATTTGATTTTTTGTGCAAATTTTCAATCAAATGGAAATGCCCCAATCAAATGCTCCAAAGTAAATGAGGCATTTTGTACGTCTAGCGGCCAGACTATAGTATATGTAACACTGTTAATTTAACTTTTAAGAACGAGTTAAAATTACTGTTATTTGTTAAATTGAGCTGTTTGCCGGATTTCTGAAAGTGTCTACGTAAAACCGCGTGGTTACCTTAAAGTTTGCATTTTTGAAAATAAACTTTCAAAAGTCTGATATCCTTCACAATCACTGCACAATGATGCTGAATATCGCAAAAAGGATTACATATGTTGATACTGATGTGCGACATGAGTGACATCGCGGGCTTTCGTGTAGTACTTTAGTAACAATAGATTTATTAATATGTAACATTTCAAGCATGCGTTATACATTATTATTATTTTTAAAAATATATTTATTAATTGTTTTATTAATGCCAGTACGTAAGTCCTCAATCAAGTTATTCACGAGGCCGAGGGATCTGTGCCTCGGAAGTTGCCAGGGAGATGTTGGAATCCCCGAATATGTGTAGTACTTTAGTACTTACATTAAAGTGCCTAATGCAACGAAATTTTTACCTCACTTTTTATTGTTTTTCTAAAAAGTACTGCTGGAGTAATGAAGAATTACGTTTACAGTTTCGTCATATCTCATTCTCAAGTTAACGCTCTTTCTATATTTTGAGTTGTGACGTCGCAAGTATGAGTTTAGATAATGGGAATAACAAGAAAGTATGATATCTTGGTGAGTATTTAATAAAATTCAATGAAACTTGGTGCACTTAGTGGGTGTACCATTATGATTCATATGGATGAATATTTTGTGGTTGTCGTGGCGACAGACTAGTCCCCAATCTCTTCTCTTCCTTTTCACAACTTTCCTCCTGTAGACCTCTTGCAGAGTAATATGTTTACATATTATAACTGTTTAAGCTGATTACAATACAATACATTTAACATTTATTTACATGACGTGATCAAAAATACAGTTAGCTACACCAACATCATCATGGCGTTGTTCTCCAAAGCATCGGAGCAGCATGATAAATCAGATTGTCTTTTTGACCAGCATTAAGTACAAACATTTTTGAGGGACAAATTTAGCATCTAAACCAGGGTTAACTTTTACCAGTCATTTTTGAAACAGGTGGACGAGTAGTACAGGTGTATGTATCACAGAATACAACGGTACCACAGAATACCAGTTTTATTTCTTATATAAAATTTGAAGGAAATATGCTATAAACTTTATTTTGGTGATTATATATTAGTTTTAGTCTTAAATGACATATAAAAACAAAAAATGTATATTTTCTTAAAAATAATCAGGATTAACAAGAATGCTATATTTTTGGTACTTTTTTTCCGCATAATGCCTGTAAAATCCGAATGTTTAAAAATAAGTTCGCCAACCAGCATAACTGATGTTGATCAATACTTTTTCTATGCAACACAACATTATTACTATACACTGGAATCACAGTGTAATCAATTTTACCATTGAAAAACCGAATTTTTCAAAATTATTGATAAACCTGGTATTCTTTGATTATATACCACTGGTATTCTGTACTGATTTTAGTGTTTAACTTTCACTAAATTAAGTTAGCAATATCCCACAGTATTATCATACAACAGGACACACCAAATCCTGGTACAATTTGATAAACCATTGCTTACTTACCTCTGCACTGGTATTCTGTGGTACAATGGGTTTTATTCCACAGAATATTCATTAAAAAAAAAATTAAGTCTATGAAATCTTGCCCCAAAACCCCCAGGAAGAAAAAATATATCGATAGACTATATGCTAAAAAATGTCAAGGAACCATATTATATACATTAGACAAAAGATATGGAACATGTAAATTTTTGCGGTATTCTGTGGTACATACACCTGTAAGTAGTTGTTCTCGTTGTCGCTGGGTTAGTTTTGAAAATTCAGAAGTCATCATATCAATTACTAGAGCCGAGTTTAAGTTCGACTTCCAATACCAATACCGATATTTTTTCACTTCCGTTCTCATTTTGGTACCGGGAATTTTAAAGCGTTAAGTTATCACGACAGATAAAGTATAGAACACATCAATCGTCACTGAAAATGTGCTGTATACTAAACGGCAGCTGAGCTAAAATTCCGAGTAAAACATGATTCTGGCGATGCTAATAAACAAATAGTTTACATGTTTATCGTAAAAATTATGAAATATCCGATTTATATGAGTTTATCTTACAATTCCCCCGGCTTCCAATACAAGGCCGACTTCGGTAGTGGTGACCTCCAATACACTTGTCCTCATGCTTCTTGCGAGCAGAGAGCATGTGCCTGACATGTTGTTAGTATCGGTATCGGAAGTCGAACTTAAACTCTCTATTACAGGGAGGTGAACAAGGTTTTGGTCACTTGATGGAAACAATCTTAGCATCGGAGATCTTGCAGATGTAGAAGGTCTGTACAGATTGAAAGGACCGATATTACCTCCAAATTTAATGATGATGCTTAATTCTTACAGACAAAATCATTGACAAAAATAGAATCCAGACAAAATCCCAAATGGCAAATCTAAAACATCAGCCAAACAATAAATTTCACTTTATATAAACTACTGTTACAGAAGTGCTTTAATTATTTACATACTTACAGATACAGATATTTCACAGCACACTCCCTATCAGGGCTTTTCAGTGACTGGTTACATTGTGAATAGATAGATAGAACCGGACTGACGTGAAGCAGACCGAGGTAGACTTTGAGCTTATAAATGGCTCCTTGAGCAGCCACTATTAGTCCATACCTCATTAATGATCTGCCTCCTGACCTACTGTATGTGCCTAACCCACCCTGTCAACTTTCCCTGTGGGAGGAAACCGGAGTACCCAGAGAAAACACATTGAGAAGTTCTCACTGAGGCTTGAACCTGCGGTCTCAGAGGTGAAAGGCAAGTGCGCTACCGGTAACCACTTTGCCACCGAATACTTCAACTGCCACCTCTTGTGCTTGTTTGCACAGAGTACACATTTCTACCAACATGAGCACAGTCAGGGTGGAGTTTCTTTCGCTTTTTTCTCCTTGGGAATGTAACTTACACCAATTTCATATTTGCACTCTGGGTAGCTTTTTGGCTTCCAGAAGTTTGCATATACAAATGGACATGCAGGACACTTGCTTTTGCACCTTTTTGTTGCATTGCCTAGGATAATCTAAGAGAGATAATGCATTATGATTAAGTACAAAAGGAGCAATGGTTAGGTTGGGATAAATACGATTTATTTCGCCTTATTTAAACATGTGAAATAAAACATTACATGTTTTGTGCATCTCACTCAATAGAAATTAATGTTGATGGTTTTTATATAGATTATTATATATATAGAATTTTTTACCTAACCGGGGACGACGGAGCTGCAAAAAATGCAACACCGGCAGGAACTTATCGAACCTGCGGCTGACCGCTTAGCTACAGAGGTACAGTTGCCAAGCATTTATAACCACAAATTTTTTATTCATGTATATATATGTATGCGGGTGATGCAGGTTATGGTGTACAGTCACTTGAAATGTAAACAAACGCTTTGTTTACATTTTGAACTCAGTGCTACAGTTGTAAAATATGATTAGATTGATCGGCTAACCATTGGAATGTAGGCCTGCACAAAACGTATGCGAGAACAGACTTTATATCACCTTTAATGTTGATGAATTTATATCTCTTTACAATGCCGGTGGCAATTGGTGGTAGCCTTTCAGGTGTCTGTTTTTCAAAGGTCGTGCATAATACACACTATTTACATAAACATATGGTTAAATGGCCAATAGGCATGATAGTGTGTGATTAGGTATTTTACATATTAATGAATCTGAGCCTCCATTACATCATATGAAACAAAAAATGAGTAAGGCCTGTTTTATACGTCGAATTTTGGTCGTGTCGAATGACCAAAATTTGACGTATGAAAACAGGCTTAATACAGATGTGATTCAATATGTTGAAACAATCCTATACTGTATACACTGGAAATTGCAAATATGGCCGAAATAATACTGAGGTCTGACGCCATATATTTTACTATCAGCATCCATTACACCATATGAAACCAAAAATGAGTATAAATACAGATATGATTTAATATACAGGGTGTATCAAAATAAACGCAATTCATCTTTTGTGCTTAATAACTTTCGAAATACTATATCTAGTTAAACGCTTTTAGGCTTACTACAAAGCCTGTTCTTTTCTCTTTCAAACAAACTATTATCCTTGTCTCCAATGCTAGTAATAATTGCACAGGAAAAGATTTAGTAAAACCTATCATTTTTAGTTGCTGTTTAATTATGCAAGTTTACTATGTTATTGTTTAGTCGGTTTAAATGTTAGAATTTTCTTCTTTAAACTTTAATGTTGTCGCCACTACATCTGGAAAACCACGTAAGAACAAATTAAAAGTATTTTAAAAGAGACCAGGTTGTTTGAAAATCCTAAACGAATGCTACTGAAAATCGTCAAAACATTCTGGTGTCTGAGCCAGAGTGTCATCGAATTGCGATGTAATGTAAACAGAAATTATAGCAAGTTGATGTCAGTCAGCTTAGATGGTCCAAGCCAAAATTATATCGCATTTGAAGTTTCAAACTGAGTTACAAATAGTGGAAGAAAAACCGTAATTATACTCATTGTTACAATCCATTTAATAAAATGCAACATTTTTTGTTTTAATGAAAAAATCAGTTATTTTCATGAGAACGATTTGTTATTCCATCTCAATTTTTTTAATCTCCAATTGCAATAACGTAAAATATTATTACCCGCGAACCAATGAGTCAAATTTAAGAAACAACCCACTGTGAGAAAGCTGAATGGCTACGCTTTAAAATGAATGTAAACTTTAACGTTTTCGTCTATTATTTGTTTAGCAATTTACATTTCAGTCGAGGATTGCGCTTTTTTGGATACACCCTGTCTCCTTATTCTTAGCCACCAAAAGCTGTCCAAAACTGTATAAATTCAGCCGTCAAAAAGCGTTGGCTGTATCCTATAATGCACGCGGCGAACCTGCATGGCAACACGGTACTGCGGCGAAACGCCCCCAAAACGGGCAAGGCTTGATTGTGATTGGTGACTACCTCGGACTACCCTATTTAATCTACTGGCCAATCAGAAGACTCGATCATATAGCTAGGTATTTACTGAAAAAATATGAATAAGGTGTCGACGCGTTGAAAATAAACTTAACCCAGAGATAATTTACTATAGTTAAATGAAGTGTAATGCATTTGAAGGTTTTGAAGGGCCTATATATATACACGCTCCACAACGTAGTACGTACGAATGAAAATTGATATAAAATCAGTACAATTCAAGTTTTTAAGAGATAACGCTCCTGTATGGTTCAGTCAGAGTTTTGTTGGTAGTCAAGATCTATTAAAGTAATAATAGGGCTAATAATAAGCTGGTATACATTGTAAATAGGTGCGGTACACTGGTTATAATTAATATCAGTGCAAACCGCAAATGATCTGCAGTTGTCACGTATTGGTTTAGCGAATTGCGCGCATTAATATATTCGCAACATATGCATGAATATAAAATTACTAATTCATAATTCTCGCAATACACAATTTATGATAAATAGCACTATGATTTACCTGGTGGCGCGTTTCATCTTACTGGCGTATCTCAATTCATATCCCATAGCTCTCTGTCTGATTTAGTCTTTCTCTTGTATCGACAACATAAATTTGCAAAATAGTATAACGACCAGTCTGGCCATACTTTGAAATTTGAACTCACCGCGTTGAAACAACTCAGAGGAGGTTGTCGTCAAACATATGTTCTGTTGTCAATTGTTACTTCCTGATTGGTTGAGCTTGATTCATAATCTTAATTTGAATTCTGAGTTTCCATGCGTGTGTGTTCATATTCCAAAGTCTAGTCCGGCAGAATATAAACAGAACTGGTAATGGAAATCGATTCAACCATTATATCGATGGCACACAACGGTCATAACGATATAGCGAAGAACTTACGGTTAATAAATGAATACAGTGTGGCTTATAGTCAGTCTGAATTCGCTTTCACAAAGATTTATGCATGAAAAATTTGAAAATGAATACAAATTTGGGCTTGGTAGACGCTAGTCACTAGACTGCGTTTATAATGCCAATGCAGGTAACTTATTTTACTATTTATCAATATTCTAAGGGCATTAAAACAGAATTTGTTTACTTTGTACCGACTATCGAGGGTGATTTTAGAGGTATGGTACATTGCGGCCATTCATTTGATATCGATCGATGTCATCATTTTCCCTCCCATGGTGCCAATGAGTATAAAAAATTGGCTTTGTTAGCCTGGTTTGCGCCGATAATATTATATATCGCATTCGTATGTGCCGTGTATGCATAGAGCTTTCACGAGCATCGTTAATAATATTCATATCGTGGCTAGTTACCTTTCTTTGAATCTAAGACTAAGATTATATATAGGCAATATATTGAACAACGCGTCGACACTTTACTCGTGTAAAAGCTGTTTTTATTACGTTTATTGATTTAATGTCTTTAATTATAGCTCGTTGACGACGGCATCTAATTTAGCGGGGGAAGATGGCAAGTATTCGCGTCAGGTAGCCATACTCCAAGATGACAAACTGAAAGGCAAACCCATGGAGAAAGATTCAATCGATTCATGAAGAAAACAAATCTGTGAAATCGAACTGTCATACCGCATATAGTTTATATCAGATATGTAGCTATGTATTATAGATATACCTGCCAATAATGCCGCACGTTTACTGGGTAAAGCCTGCAGTACACGAGAGCTATCTGCCGAGCCAAAAGTTACTCGTGCCTATATTAGCTCAGCTGATCCCTCAGCGATCAAACATGTTTGATACGTGAGAAAAGGTTGCATGAGGCAAAAAACTCAGTAAAATGTACGCGCACACGGTGAGCTATGTATCGGCTAAGCTAACAGGCACGAGTAACTTTTTGCTCAGCAGATAGCTCTTGTGTGCTGCAGGCTTTACCCAGTAAACGTGCGGCATTGTTGGCAGGTATATCTATAATACATACATATCTGCATGATATAAACTATATGCGGTATGACAGTTCGATTTCACAGATTTGTTCTCTTCATGAATCGATTGAATCTTTATCTATGGGTTTGCCTTTCAGCTTGTCATCTTGGAATATGGCTACCTGACGCGAATACTTGCAATTTTTCCCCGCTAAATTAGATGCCGTCGTCAACGAGCTATAATTAAAGACATTAAATCAATAAACGTAATAAAACAGCTTTTACGCGAGTAAACTGTCGACGCGTTGTTCAATATATTGCCTATATTTTTAATGCCCTTAGAATATTGATAAATAGTAAAATAAGTTACCTGCATTGGCATTATAAACGCAGTCTAGTGACTACCAAGTCCAAATTTGTATCCATTTTCAAATTTTTCATGCATAAATCTTTGTGAAAGCGAATTCAGACTGACTATGAGCCACACTGTATTCATTTATTAACCGTAAGTTCTTCACTATATCGTTATGACCGTTGTGTGCCATCGATATAATTGTTGAATCGATTTCCATTACCAGTTCTGTTTATATTCTGCCGGACTAGACATGGTATATGGACACACACGCATGGAAACTCAGAATTCAAATTAAGATTATGAATCAAGCTCAACCAATCAGGAAGTAACAATTGACAACAGAACATATGTTTGACGACAACCTCCTCTGAGTTGTTTCAACGAGGTGAGTTCAAATTTCAAAGTATGGCCAGACTGGTCGTTATACTATTTTTCAAATTTATGTTGTCGATACAAGAGAAAGACTAAATCAGACAGAGAGCTATGGGATATGAATTGAGATTCGCCAGTAAGATGAAGCGCGCCACCAGGTAAATCATAGTTCTATTTATCATAAATTGTGTATTGTGAGAATTATGAAATTGTAATTTTATATTCATGCATATGTTGCGAATATATTAATGCGCGCAATTCGCTAAACCATTACGCAACTGACAACTGCAGATCATTTGCGGTTTGCACTGATATTAATTATAACCAGTGTACCGCACTTATTTACTTATTTAGAATGTATACCAGCTTATTATTAGCTCTATTATTGCTTTAATAGATCTTGACTACCAACAAAACTCTGACTGAATCATATACAGGAGCGTTGTCTCTTAAAACTTGA